AGGCGTCCGAAAATTATCGAGGCTAGTATTTTAGATACTATATTAGTCAAACTAATCCCTCTGTGGTTGTCACAGGATGATTTTGACCCTTTCTTAAATATTGGGACGATAAGTGATTGTGACCAGTTAGATGGAATAACGTCTATCTCCCAGATTTTAGCTAAAATATTAGTCAACCTAATCGCTAAGACTAGACCACCATCCTTAAATACCTCTGGGGCCAATCCATCTGGACCAGCTGCCCTTCCTCGTTTCAGATTAGCTATAGCCTTTTGAACTTCAGCTAGAGTTGGAGGACCTACTTCAATGTTCCATTCACACTGTCTGGGAATAGAGGGTAGTTGTAGAGTAGCTAAAGGCCAGCTAAACTGCTCCTTAAAGTGTTCCGCCCATCGTTCTAAGCGTCTGGACTGGGAGCAGATGAGAGTGTCGTCTTTTTCCGAAATGGTCTGACTTACACTTGATTTATTAATTCCAGTTTCTTTTATTAGTCTGTAGAGTTGTCTTGTGTTCCCTATAGCCGCCGCCTTTTCCATCTCTTTTGCTTTCGTTGCCCACCACTGCTCACGATCATTCCTTAGACTTTTGCTTAATCTAGATTTGATTTCTTTACGCTCTTCATCGTATTCAAAACCTGATGGGATGAGTTTGCGAGAATCTATCAGTGCAATAGACCTTGACGAAATCCATTGGTTTTTTGTAACCATTTGTTTTAAATCACTGGTAGATGTCACTGCTGTTTCCACAGCTGCTTGTATAACTTTCCAAGCAACATCGGGGTCAGTCTCGTTTTCAGAACTACTTAAGTGTGACCTCAGTTGTTCCTGGAACCTACTTTTGGCTTTCTCATTACTCAATTCGGTTCTAATGAGTCTTTTTTGTGTGGCTCTTTTGCGTCCAGTGAGGCGCAAGCAGATGCGTGCTCGTACTAGGGCATGATCAGAGTCCAAGCAGGTACCCCAGAATGAGCGACAATCTTCTATTGACCCTCTCCAACGATGACTGATGGCATTATGGTCTATTTGAGTCCATCGTTGGTTTGGTGCAGGGGGTCGCCATGTTAGACGATGTCTCTCCTTATGCTTAAAATTTGTGTTTGCTAAAAATAAACGATTGTCTGAGCACAGTTGCAGCAGACGATCACCATTATCTGTTCGCTGTGCCGGAATACTAAAATACCCACCTAAATGTCTTTCTGTTTTGTTTAAGCTACCTACCTGGGCATTAAAGTCACCTCCTACGAGTACTATGTCTGAACGTTTAGCTTTCTGAAGAAGTTCAGACAGCTTTCTGTAAAATTCATCTTTCACTTCATCCGAACTGCAGTCAGTGGGAGCGTAGGCAGAAACGACGAAAAGGCAACGACGTGTGTCCCTATCCTTTCGAGTTCTTACGGAGCCGTTTAGCCGAACAGCGCATAGACGACTGTTAACGGGGATCCACTCTAATAGCGCTTGTTCCGCCCTCATGCTAAGTGCTATGCCTACACCTGCCAGTCCACGAGAACTAGCCATCGGGTCGCCAGATACACGGAGGGTGTATCTCGTTGGCTCTCCATTTTGCCGAGGTGAGGTCAAGTGAATGACCACACTAGGATCCTGTATGCGTGTTTCGGAGACACAGCATACATCAATGGTACGAGATTCTAAGGTTTTAGCCAAGGAAGCCTGCTGACCGATTTGGCATAGTGTGCGTACATTGAAGGCTCCAATGTATAGTTTGGAGCGAGGTTTCAGTAGACCTGGGACAGTGTTTTGAGCACTAGAATCGTTGGCTGTGGTGACACTTGAGGAGGAAGCTAAAAGAGGAAGTTTAGTGTATAAAGTCGATGTAGGAGGAATAATAGGAATTGAAGAGGGAGGTTGACTATGAATACAGTGGTCTTGAGTGCTGTTAGAGGTATGAGGGCGGTTATCACTTCCCGGTTGCCCACACCGTGGAAGGGTTCTGCTGGAGGTACCTGAAAAGGAAATTGGTTTAGGGGTGGTCTCAGTGACCTGAGAGCGTGACCGCAGTGCCCAAGGGACAGCTGCTTGAGGTCGGTCACACACGACCTTTTTATGAGTGATTTTTGTGTTAGCTCCGTACTTGTTGAGTCCTTACCGCCGGAGACGGATATCCGTGGGATAAGGCGAGGTGTGCATTTTTAGGGTCGACCTTTTCTAACCCCACCCCTCCTTGTGGGAAGGCAGCATCGCTGTCATGCTGGTTGTCTGAAGGAAACACCTTACTGCTGTCACACCTCTGTACAGTCAGCAGTACGACTTCGCCTTCGGACCTTGGTTTTGTTGCTTTTAGTCTTACCGCTCTTCAACCGACCTGTCTGGCATGGTAGGACCTTGAGGAACGGTTGTTCCAGCCAGTATAGCTCAGTTGCTTCATCACGATAGGCAAGCCCGACCACCACGTCAAGGTAGCAACAACGGTCAGGAGGTAGCAACAACGGTCAGGTCGGGGCATAGGCGGAGATGACGAAAAGACATCGTTTCTCATGCCTATTTCTTCTCACTTTGATGGGACTTTCTAATCTAACAGCACATAACCGACTGTTAATGGGGATCTAGCGCTTAGTGCGACACCAACGCCAGCAAGACCAGACGAAGATGCCACAGGGTCCCCGGATAAATGCACGTAAAACAAGCTTTTTGAAGCGACAGATGGAGATTGAATTTGTAGTACTTCACCAGAGTCTTGAATACGGATCTCGGATAGACAACAAACGTCGATATTGAGACTTTCCAAAGACATAGCCAGCCCTATCTGTTGTCCGACCCGCATAAGTGTGCGAACGTTGAAGGCAGCCTGTTTGAATAGTGCGCGTGGTTTCAGAAAGACTGCTTCAGTACTCTTATTCGATGGTAACATACAATTTTCAACCAGGCAGTGACTCGAGAACGTTTAGATAGAACCGAATGTCCACCATAGGCGAGCTGCTCTATAAGTCGAAAAATAAGGATAGACAGAGTGGGAATGAAAGAGATTGAATAAATGACGTGGTAAATAATAAAAATAATATTAATTGTTTAACGATAAATCGCATCGTAAACAGAGTTTTCAGAGAAGATCATCATTTTCACTATATTTGTGTGTGGGCTATGATACTGCCCGGGTGCCCAGACCGAAGCAGGTGGTTTTCTTACTAGGCCACACCCCGAGCCTTCGACCTAAAGGTCTAACCCACAAGGCAGTGGAGCATCGTGAGGAGATGCAGTCCCATGGAAGCCAGTGACCAAGAAATCGGTTCATACGCCATTTGTTCCTTCAGGATACTGGAGCCCATGTGCACCATTGATTTGAGATCCGGTTATAGCGCCGGACGTTCGCTTTTCGTCCTCTCATTTTCGTAAACAACAGTAATGCCACGAGAAGGCAGTGAGTAGGACTTCCCTGGCAGAGGCTGTATACGCGTGGCCGTGTGAGAGTATTTCGAGAGGGAGGGCGAACCCACCCCACTCTCGGTCGTACCAGGGCATTTGGGGGCATAAAAATAACAAAACCAAGAAGCATACAACAAATGACAATAATTTAATAGAAAATTGCAGTTATACAAGATACTATTCTAAAGAGGAGAATATCGAAGATATTGGTACTGTTAGGATTATATTACAGATTATTTCTGTCGATATTTTATTGTCATTATTAAATAAAAGGGCTATTATTTTTGTATAAACCCCTTATCATAAACTTGTTAGTTGTATTAGCTTAGTGTCCCTTAATTATTGTTCTTCTGTCATTCATGGCGTGATTGTATATAAAGAATGAGTGGTTTGAAAATTCTTGTACATGTATTAGTGAGTGTTTGAGGTACATAAATATACTGGATGCGTGCAAGTAGAACAGTAGAAGCATGATCACTGTGTTCTGTTATCGAACTCAAGATTTGGGGACAGAAGAAGGTTTGCATACCAGTGAACCGATCAAGGTCACCATTATCTCATCAGCTCTCAGCGTTACTAGTGTTAGGCTAGGTGTTTCGTTGATCAAGTTAAGTAATTATTCAATAAACGAATTAACATAGTTGTGCTCGAGAACAAAAACTCAGGAGTTTATTTGGTGCGTTTGTTTCCCGGGCTATCAATTAAGACATTGCAGGCTAGTGAACGTCGTAACAGTTATATTTGACACAGTATTCTTAGCTTTGATCTCTCTAAAGCAGTGCTCAAGTATTGAAAAAACAAGAGATCTACAATACTGTCTCCACTGGTTTCGGATCTGAATTTTATTTGATTGTGTCTCACAAAACTTACCATGCTATTTCGGTATACGGGACAGTTCAAGGCCTGTTTTTGTGAACACGTTTTGATTTTTAAATTGATCTGTAGAGTGTGTTGATCGATAGATGGTGATAAACAATCCTGGTACATAGTCGACTAATATTATGTGCTCACGAGACCGAATTATCGACCCAAGTCTTTCAAATGAACTGATATTAAACAACAACACAACTGATCAACAGCATAGATTTTCTTTCCAGTCAATTATCATAAACTTACATACAAAATATGAGACAGAAAAATAAACATAAGTGACTTAAGAATACGGGTTCTTGTATGGCATATTATATATATATATATATATATATATATATATATATATATATATATATATATATATATATATATATATATATATATATATATATATATCTGATAGTGCTTCTAAAAAATATTTTTCAGTCATGTTTTAGTGTGAAATAATATTACATATACTTATGTCCTGCAAACTAATACTTATATCATTTCACTGACCTAATTTGTTAGTAGAGCTTTTGGCTCAATGATTAAGACGTTCACAATTTCCAGGTTTGAATTCTACTCCCATCCCCAACTACTTCGATTTGGTCAGCCGGGTATTATCGTTATTCCTCATTCACATATGGAGAATGGTTCAAGTTTCGGTATATGGATCTTTGTTCTGATTGGCGAGTTAATAATAATAATAATTTATTATTGAATGAACAATAATTTTTCTTTTTGGTTTCTCTCTGTTTTCAACATAAGGTCCCACCGGTACCGCCCAAACCAGATTTCGATGCATCTCGTGCTAAACTACAACGACTGGGTGAAAATGAAGGCAATCTACCCGTAGACGATCTGCGAAAAATGAAAGCTGAATTAGAAGCGTAAGAAGGGTGTCATTAATATCCGTACTATTTTCCTTCTATAAAACGAAAAAATGGAAGTTGTGGTTTACAACTGATCAATGACCAAGTCCGTCCTAATACTGTTCGAATTTTGATCGATCGAGTTGCGATGTGGCCACCGATCTCTAAGTGACTCAATATCGCTAGCATCATGATTAAAATTTAGGATGGTGGTTGGAATTATTCGACAGGGCACCCTGCTCAAGCTACGTGTTGTACTGTTTGTCACTAATTGTCAGCAAGGTCTACCTGTTATTTTGAGGAAACTGATACTTCCTGGCTAGTATCATCCCGTCTCACTCAGCCTCGCAGTCAGAGATATTACCACCGAGCTATTCGGGCGGCAAGTAACTAATAGCTAACTAAACTGTTTTTAGTTTTCATAAATAAATGTTAAATACAGTTGTAGTGCAATCATATATACTGCTCTCTTCAGCATTTGACCCATTTACTCATCCAAGAGTTGTACAATCAAAACATAAAATAATAATAATAATCAGTAAAACACTTAGAAAAGTTCCAGTGTCTTCCATAATCGGTCCATTATTTATTTATTTAAACACATGAACGTTGATACAAGGAGGCATCAAATAGACATGCGCCACACTTAATCATTCGATTTGTATGAGGTCTGGAATACTGCCCGGACTCCCAAACCGAAGCGGGTGGTTTTCTTAAGGGACATATCTAGATAATAACCATTTATGTACTTTCGTTTCCGAAAATGAGAGGACGAAAAGCGAATTTCCGGCGCTTTAACCGGATTCCAGACCAATGGTGCATATGGGCTCCAGTATCCTGAAGGAACAAATGGCGTGTGAACCAATCGTTGGTCACCGGCTACCATGGGACTGCATCTCCTTACGATGCTCCACTGCCTTGTGGGTCAGACGTTCAGGTCGAAGGCTCGGGGTGTGGCCCCCTAAGAAAACCACTTGCTTCGGTTTGGGCACCCGGGCAGTATCACAGCCCTCACACAAATCAATTGAGATTCGTGTGGCGTATTTGTATTTGGTGCATCTTTGTACCAATATCTATGTGTTAAAATAAAATGATTTTCGTTAGTTATCATAATAATAGTAATTATTATGGTTATCGTTTTGTGTCTGTGATAAACATTTTACGTTATGCCTAGGTTTTAAGTAATAATAATAGTTGTATATATCCATGTGCTCGCCTACTTTGTTTTTTATTGCTTAAGTGTTTTGTTTTGTATGTAATCTAACTAAAAATTTTCTATTGTCTTTTATCAACCTATTGTATATTCACCGGTTATGTATGCACATATATATTTATGTGATATAACGGATTGTTCAAAATATATTTCTCTCTCTTAGGTGTACTTTAATAATGCCTTAATACAATAATGAGACTAGTCACGTTATATCAGACCCGGAATTCTCGACTCAGAATAGAGACCTAGATTAACACTTGATGCTATTTTATTCAACACAGGTACAAGCAGTCGCACTGAGTGAGTTCGAAGTACAAATCAAAATGAGAGGAAAGGAAACAACATATTCAAGTCAGTAGGTCAAGTGCCTGCTTGTCCACGCTCAGTGACCAAACATATTTTACTTTCACTACCACATATCAATATATTTGCTCAGAGCTAGTTATGACAGCTGTAAATATTGAAAATCTATTCTATGTAATTACCATCTATTCAATGATTACGTCTCTGTTTCAGTAGTATGCTGTGTGTTCCATTATAAACCAGTAGTTGGCAGTAGTGATACTTACTTACATACGCCTGTTACCCTTAGTGGAGGAGCATAAGTCACCCACCAGCATTCTCCATTGAACTGTCCTGGACAATCCTTTCCGGTTGTTTCCATTTGATATTCATCCTTTTCATGTCTGTTTCGAATTCTCAGCGCAGTGTGTCCTTTGGTCTTCTTCTTTTTCCTTTCCCTTCACGATTCTAAGTTAGGGCTTGCTTCGTGATGCAGTTTGATGATTTCCCAAATGTATGTCCTATCCACTTTTATCGTCTTTTTTTAATTACCTGTTCATCTGGAAACTGGTCTTCCACTCCCACGGTAGGCTGTTGCTGATGGTATCCGGTCGACGGACACTGAATGTCTCGCGTAGACAATCGCTGATATATACTTGTACCTTTTTGGTGATGGCAGTAGTAGTTCTCCAAGTTTCAGCTTCGTACAATAGCGCTATCTTGACGCTTGTACTGGAAATTATGAATTTGATTTTGGCCGACAGTTGTTTAGAGTTCCACATGTTCTTCAGTTGTAGAAATGCTGTTCCTATTTCAATAATAAGTGCCTTCACATCCGCATCGGATCTTCTTTGTTTATCGATGGTGATGCCCAGACATGTGAACGTTTCCACCCCTCGTGGGGTTCTTCCATCAAGTGTGATCGTCCTGGTGTTCCCTGTATTGTATTTGACGATCGTGCTTCTTCCTTTGTGTATGTTGAGGTCTACTGATGCAGAAGCTTCTGCTACACTGGTTGTCTTGACCTGCATTTGTTCGTCCGTATGGAATAGAAAGATCAGGTCATCTGCAAAGTCTAAATTGTCTAGTTGCATCCAAGTTGTGCATTGTATTGCGTGCTTCTCCTCAGATGTGAAAGTCTTCAAAATCCAGAAAGAGAAAGCGTGAGATTAAGCAACCTTGTCTGACTTCGGTCCTCACTCGAAATGCGTCTGTCAGCTGTCCTTCATGTACGACTATGCAATGTAGTTGGTTGTATGAATTCCGGATGATGTTGACGGTTTTCCCAGCTACTCATATCATAGTGTCGCGAAAGGTTCCATAAGGTCCTCCCACACACAGTGTCAAATGCTTTCTTATAGTCAAGGAAGTGGATGTATAGTGAACGGTTCCATTCAATTGATCGTTCAGTGATGATCCACACTGCTGCGATTTGATCTGTGGACGACCGGTCCTTAAGGAATTCGGTGTGTTGATCTCGAAGTTGGGCGTCTACTGAGTCTTTCGTCCGGTTCAGCAACACTCTGTTTAAGACGTTCCCTGGTACTGACAGTAGTGTGATGATGCCTCTGTGGTTCTCACATCTGCTCAGATATCCATTCTTTGGAATCTTGATGAGGTGTCCTTCTTCCAGTCCATCGGCATTTGTTCTCCCTCTCAAATCTTCCAGAATAGAACGTGAAGAATGTTTGCAGTTGCTTCTATATCTGACTTCAGTGTTTCAGCCAGTATATTGTCAGGTGCTGCTGCTTTCCCACTCTTGATTTGTCTGATGGCCATTCTGATTTCTTCGATCGTTGGTGGAGTGATATCTATGGGAAGGTTTGTATGTGGTGCTTCGATGTCCGGTGGATTTAGTAGAGCTGGTTTAATCAAGAGTTCCTCAAAATGTCCTCCCCCCTTCCTCCCTCTGCTTTTAAATGCCAATGATTGCCTTGCGTTGTTTGCCCTTTAACGGTCTCTCCGATTTACTATATTTCCCTGTCAGTTTCTTCGTTGTGTCACATAGTTGTTTCATATTTCCTTCTCTTGCAGCATTTCCTGCTGTTGTTGTTAGGTCTTCGACGTATTTCAGTCTGTCAGCCCTAATGTTGTTCCTTACCTGCTTGTCTGCTTCTGTGTTTTCAGCTTGTGCCTTGAATTTCTTTGTTCTTGTTCGACTGTTGTTCATTGCTGTCTTCTTGTTCTTCGTTTCTTGAATCTTGTCTAGGGTTTTGGTGTAGATCCATTGGTTATGATGATGTTTCTTGGGGTGTAGAACCTCCTAACATGTTGAAGTTAGTGTTTTTTAATCCCTTCCCAATTGTCTTCCATAGTAGTTTCTTCTTCTTTCAGTCGATCTTGTATGGTGTGTAACCTGTTATTGGGAGCTATCTTGAATTAGTTGAGTTTGTCGTTATGAGCTGTAGTGGTAGTAATATTGAAAAATAGATATCAAAGAACATGTGTAGTTATTCATTTAATTGCAATCACAAAGTGTATGTTGAATTTGTCATGAAATCGGAAATAAAGTATCAATCAACGGTCAAGGTCTTATAGGTAGATTATGTTATGTGTGGTTAATTTATTCTTACATGCATGCTTGCCATAACACATCATTCGTCCTGTATTAACTTTGATCAGTGGTTAGGGTTATTAGGTGACATCTTTAGAGTGTATGTTTATGTTTTATTATCTTAGTTCAATTTAACTATATATCAGTCTTCCAATCCATATCAATTATTTTTTTGCCTGTTTCTTGTTTTTGGATAAAGTGGATCTCAATATATACTACTGAAAATATATTGATTATCATTCATAGATTGTTGTTTGTTTTCTGCATATAACGTACCTCCGGTATGATATCCACTTCAACTGTTCAGTACTTTTTGAACTAAATTGGATAACTGAGTTAACACTAGTCATATTTAGCATAAATGATTGGTTATTTTCTATTACTTGAGCCGCATGTTATTACATTCCAAAATGTATGATATTGTCATGATTGTGATATAGAAGATAAATTATTTTGATCAATTAATCATAACATTGTTCACACTGATGGACAAGTTAACCTCATTCATGTTTATGATGCTTGTGATCGATAGCCTAGTAGGTGACTCAATGGTTAAGACTTTCACTCTTCAGACATTAATTTGTATGTTTGAAATCCGTTATGGGTACTTCGTTTTAGGCAACTGTGTAATATCAGTGTAGCTCAAAACCAAAAAATTAATCATAAATTCTCACTCACACTTATTATAAGTGTTTAGCACATGTAGTCTTTGATACTCCTCACTTCTCAATTCAATTCATCTCCTCTTAACTATATTTGATTATTCTTTTTATAGGGTGTTACAGAGATTGTTGAATTCGATTATCATAATAATTAGTAAAACAGTTCCAAGAGTCCCAATGTCCTCAATACCTCGCCCTGATATAATGTCAACATAGTGTATATTAGCATTTACTGCTAATGTTTTGATCGTCAGTTCATAATTCATTTAATTTTAGTAAAAAAATGTCCCATAGGTTTATATTCTTTTGTTTGCTTATTTATTTTCAGTGAATACTTAGCTACTTTTAAGAAAACGGTTGCAATGCATGAAGTGTTTTTACAACGACTAGCATCACATCCAACATTTAAACATGATCATGGTTTTCGTGTATTTCTGGAATTCGAAGAAGAATTAAACGTACGAAATAAGACAAGAAAAGAAAAGGTATTTTCTTATTTTACAACGTTTCTCAGCAACATTATACACCTAACTATGAATTTGAAATACATTTGTTATTTAAGAATGGTTAATGTTGGAGATATTGTGAGGTCCCTGAGTCTAGGTGGTTTAGTTGTGAAGTTTTCATTGTCGTAGAGAGCAACATCATTAGCATGTACTTCAGACTGAGATAGCGACCTATCAGAATTTTACCTTGCCATCGACTTACAGTGTGTCCTGTTGACCTGGGATGTGGTTGGTTATTGTGCATTACTATGTGATCGTTGTTTGTTTGTTTTTTTTGCTAGTTGTTAATCCTTGTGCTTATTGGCTGATAGATTTGGTTGATTTCAATCTGTTTATTGATTGACACTTGATTAAAGTACTAAGTTATTTTTTGTGTTTCTTTACAGCCGAACTTTTGTCCATATGGATTGATATGAGAAAAGCCATGCCGTGTCGTTTAATATTTAACTGGTTTTCATGTAGACGTAGACAAAGAAATCAATCAGTTTGTTCTAGTCTAGTTGTTTGGCTCCTTTTAAACGATGTTAGCTTAATAGTAATAGTTGAAAGTAACTGAACTTTCAATAATTTGGTCATACATTCAAATCCTGTTCCACTTACTTTGTTTAAAACAACCAAATTGTATCATTAGCAGTAACACGAAAAGTATAGTTCCAAGGCTAAGTACAATTTATGTATTGATTATGGTTTAGTATTTATTAACTGAGTATCTCCCATGTATGGATCCCACTGTCATAATTAAATAGATATTCTGACAAAGAAATTTATTTAAACACATGAACGTTGATACAAGGAGGCATCAAATAGACATACGCCACACTTCATCATCCGATTTGTTTGAGGTCTAGAATACTGCCCGGACTCCCAAACCGAAGCGGGTGGTTTTCTTAGGGGGCCACACTTCGATCGTTCGACCTGGAGGTCTAATCCACAAGGCAGTGGAGCAACGTCAGGAGATGCAGTCCCATAGTAGCCGGTGACCGACGATAGGTTCATACGCTATTTATTCCTTTAGGATACTAGAGCCCATGTACACCATTGGTTTGGAATCAGGGTTTCTCAACTCACCTAGATGGATCCTCCACATCCACAAATCCCGTTAAAGCTCTGGACATTGGCATTTCGTCCTCTCACTTTCGTAAACAGCACCCCTATTACGAGAAGGAAGCGGGTAGGACTTTGAAGCTAGACCACCATGGAAAGCCTGGAAGCACTGGACGGCCGTTTCGTCCTATTATGGGACTCCTCAGCAGTGCGCATCCACGACCTCGCCCCCTGCGAGATTCGAACCCAGGACCTACTGGTTTCGCGCGCGAGCACTTAAGCACTAGACCCTCTCGAAATGCTCTCACATGGCCACTCATATATAGCCTCTGCCAGAGAAGTCCTACTCACTGCCTTCTCGTGACGGGGGTGTTGTTTACGAAAATGAGAGGACGAAAAGCGAATGTCCGGCGCTTTAACCGGATCTCAAACCAATGGTGCACATGGGCTCCAGTATCCTGAAGGAACAAATGGCGTGTGAACCAATCGTTGGTCACTGGCTACCATGGGACTGCATCTCCTTACGATGCTCCACTGCCTTGTGGGTCAGACGTTCAGGTCGAAGGCTCGGGGTGTGGCCCCCTAAGAAAACCACTTGCTTCGGTTTGGGCACCCGGGCAGTATCACAGCCCTCACACAAATTAATTGAGATTTGTGTGGCGCATATGTATTTGTTGCCTCCTTGTACAAATGCCTATGTGTTAAAAATAAATAAAAATAAAAGGGTAGGACTTTCCTGACAGTGACTGTATACGTGTGGCGTTGTGAGAGCATTTCGAGAGAGAAAGTGGACTCTCCCCACCCTCAGTCGTTCCAGGGCATTTTGGGTAAATATGTAATAACTCTGCAATGTGTTTCAAGTGAACTACAAAAGTTACCATATCAAACAATTCATTGCTTTTATTGCATAATTGATTTAACCATAGAATTACATTACCGACCATACACAAATTTAGTTATCTATCGAATATATAAGACTCCACAATACTACGAGCTTACAATGTCATCTTAAATAGAATACAAAAGCTTCCTACCTCCTTCCGGTGAGCTCAGATTACCTTGAAGATTATTTATTGTCAAAATCCGGTGCTGTTCCATCTTTTTATTATTATTATCATCCTATTACTGTTGGTTGAGTATCTGTCCCAACCATTTTTTTTTCCTCTTTAAATGTTATCGAGATATTACAAATACAAAATTCATCTTAATCAAATAGATTATTTTGTTTCTGTATTTGACTTTTTTTAGGCTGTTGATTTTTTAAAGTCTGTTTCAAAATCAGCTGATGAAACTTTATGGTTAAATAATCAACGTGATAATGATGTTTTCTTTCGTGAAGAGAAATGTATCTTAGCTGTTTATCATTCAGCTATAAAAGATGCAACAGTAGCAGCGGATCTAGCATCGAAATGTCGCAAAACTAATGCAAATACTTTATTACAAATCGAATTGGCTTTATCTAATCTAATTCCAAAAGAATGCAATATCACTTCTGAAACTGAGTTAGTTGGGTTGTTATGTTTTTAAAAAAAAAATTAGATTGTTTTGTTTTCTTGGTGCAATAGATTATGTTCATTTGTGATTACTTCTCTCCGTCTCTCTTTCCACTTCTCCGTGGTATCGACTTTTGTTCTGTATGACTTTTACTGAAACAAATGCACTAAATATATACACATTTCAAAGAAATATAAGGAAGGAAAGTACCAATTATTTACAATACAATTTTCGTGGTTTAAATCATGAACTGATCTCAACAAAGCAACCGTCAAAAACTTGGAAGCACTGGACAGCTATCTCGTCTTGATATGAGACTCCTCAGCAGTGCCTATCCACAACCTCGTCAGAAGGAATCGAACTGAAGACTTTGTATCTCGCGCACGGACGCTTAATCTCCAAACCGTTGAGCCGGTACCAAATTGTTTACATATCTAATTCTAATTAATTCACGATTGTACAGCTATCATTCACTGCCTGCTTTGGATAAATGTTTCACACCCGACCTAGTGGAACTCCCTTGGTCATTACAATTGTTAAATTTAGACTATAGTGGAACTTTAACTAGATAGTGTAGTTGTCTTTTAGCTTATTAATATTTTATAAATTACATTTAACAGAAAAAAGGCCATCTCATATGATTCAGCTGTCATAGTAGTCTAGGTTTTCGAAATAAGCACCTAATCAGTCATATAAGCAGATCTGAAAGGTTAGGAAAATTTAAAATTTACTTCCTTATCGGTCTTCCATCCTTTTGACAACTCTTCAGCCAGACCGAATAATAAATTAGCCTAAAATCATTTTAACAGTGAATAGATTGTCACTTAATAAACTCAGTGTTCAGCTAGCCCATACTGGATATTTATAATCACGCATTTATATTTGCTGTAATCGTAACACAGCTCATAAAATAGGTCTGCATATTCTAGAGTTGTATCCACCGTACATCTCTATCTAAATCTTCAGTATATTTTCTTTATACAATTTTAATTCTTCCACTTCACTTATCTCTTTCGACGCCTATTTATCATGTTTAGCTTTCCAATCCAATCAATGGTAATTTGTCATTCTACATTCCTCATTCTATTAACTTCCGTTCACTACACTGTTAGAAGTTGTGGCAACTCAGACTAATGTACATTCATGTAATGTACTACATTGATTATGATTGATTAAGTACTTTAGACTACTTGTAAGTAAACATATAACATAAATTATGTGGACTGTTTGTAACGGTAGCTTCGTAACGTCGTTGGATTGGGTGATAAACTTAGTTCTGATAACCATTAATAAATATTGTAAATAGGATGAAAGACACCTCCTAGATTTTACTGCTGGCCACGTTTAATTTATCCTATAAAAAATCCCGACATGGTTATATTGAAGCAATCCGCACAGGACACAAATGTCAAATAAAATTAATTAAAATTCACTACAAAAGTATCAACATTGGGATAATCCCAAGAAAAAAGAACTATTACAAATTGATAAGCAGAGATGGGTAGTGGCTTGCAGTGAAAACATAGACTGGCGTTTCGTCCTGTTTGGGACTCGTCAGACGGATATACCTGCATCACACAATTGATGTTCTCTCCGGGACTCGAACCCACTACCATTCGCTTCCAACTCCATTGCATTATCCATTAGCTTCCGAATTGAACTATGTAAACAATTTTTATACTTCAAGATAATTCAGAGTTTTCCTGTTACAGTTCTAGTATAAATTTTATTCGTTACTCATAATTGTGTTTGAATTATTTCTTCTCTTCAACAGTTTGACAACTTTGTTATCCAATTTCTTTGAAAGCTTTCAAGTAAGCTAATTCCTTATTTTTGGTTTGTAATATTTTGGTGTGTAATATGGTAAGTGGTTGGAGAGTTAGTCGACAGGAAATCCTGTTTCACTTACGTTTTGTGTTATTTGGCACTGCTTTTTAGCCAAGTGTACCTGTTATCTTAAGGAAACTTTTAGTGGCCCAGAATCTGACTCCAGTTTGATCGGACGAATGATCATTATCGAATGATTGCTATTGGTGCGCTCACCACTTTAATGGCCCTTTATCTAACTCCAGTAATATCGTATGATTGATTGAGTAGTTTGAGTTGCTCATCGATTAATTCGGTCACTTCGCTTATCGGACGCGTAGAGTTCGAAATGTTCATCATCTGTGTAGATTTACAAGGTCAGTTTAGTTCGAAATCGAGCTTCCCATCTTAGTGGTGCCGTGATCTCTCTCCAGTTTGATCGTTTGGTCGAAAACTGCATTGTTTATCGATTGACCTGGCTTAGCTCAGTTTATCCGCCGAAAGTGTGGAGTGTATAACGTTCTCCATCGACGTAGTTTGCTGCGTTAGGTTCGCCGTTGACGGGCTCACCACTTTAGTGGGGCCCTTCATTTTGACGTCAATCAGATCGTATGACTGATTGAGTAGTCCGAGTTGGTTCACTCGCCTTCTTTATTACGCGTCATTTTATTTTGTTTCACTTCCCAATCAACAATTGTCAGAAATATACTTATTCAAAATTCCATTCTCGTATTTAACTTATTTAATTCCGTTCTTAACCAATGCGAGTTAAGTTTATGATTATATACGAGGATTGGCGACATATATATTTCGATAACAATCAGAAACGACCCAACCGAAGTCAGATTTTGATCCAATGTTACCTAGCTTTACAGTCAGAGACGTTACCACTGAGCTGTTCGGGCTATAACTGACCTGTAGAACTGAGATGTATTTATACTTTATTGATCGCTGAATAGTAACAAATGTTTCATCTCAAGTCCTCCTTAGTACAAATCGAATTCTATGGATATAGTGAATATTAGACCTAGTGGCTTGACATCACGTGCATTGTGTTGAGATGGGATGTACGACGATGGTTGGAGGTGATTGACTGGAGGCCGTGGACTTAGGTTTCGTTTTATTTAACACTTTCCAGGCTAGTGGCCACATTGCGACTTGTTTGTCGGTAGAATTCGATCAGAACTAAGAACGACTTAACGTGCATGACATTTGTCACCACTCAATGGCCAATCAGTCGTAAATACTTATGTGTTTAAAAAAGAACTATTTTAACTGTCTCACAAATGTTTAATTTATTTTTAATCATTTATTCCCAATGCATCCCTCACACATGTCATTTAAAATATACAAAAGCAATTAATTAATATTATCCACATACTAATGTTTATTTCACTTAAAACGTAATTTTGATTATATATGAAATTTAAGGTTGTTTATTTTGTTTTTAAAGTTTTTTTTTTATTTTGCGATCTGAATGTTCCTTTTTCTCTCTTGTCCCTAAAACGATATTCTCTGTATGTGTTGTTTATCACTTACTTGGAGGGGGTAACATAGTGATTAAGGTGTTCGGATTTCAACCACTAGATTGTACAAGTTCCCAAGTTCCATTTCACCTACTTCTGTACGTAAACTGTAACTCAAAGCTTAGGACACCAATCGGTACTTAGTAAATGAATCGGATCTATCTAGTCTATAACTTACTGATTAACTTGCCGACTGACTGAACATGTTAGTACCGTGATTTTAAATAACAAAATACCTTTTATAGATGTAAAAATGAGTTATTATGCGAAAGTTACTTATATTTGTTTTACATTTAGGACTGAAATACATGCTTTTTTCATTTTGCGCTTCTGTACATAAGTGACTACATTCAAATGAACTGTGAATGAAGATAAATGGTTTCCCGAATTGTCCTAAATTTTGTCGAATTTTTCTCCTATGAAATATAGAAATATAAATACAATCGACCGATCATTGAGTAGTTATCAATATTATGTTTATCTAATCCTTTTTGTGCTGATTGAATCCTATCGATCATGTTGTAACGCAGTCACTAGTAGAACTGATTTGACATAACGTTTATTATGTGTTAGGTGGTTGAAGGTAGCATATAGGAAACCCTGGATCTAGTTTTCATGCTAATTGGCACTCTTCAACAAGATCCAGGGTCGCCTTCCAATAAATTTTTTTATAATGTCTAACTATGAAGCTAGGTGGTACGTGTTCCAGTCTCACAAAGAGCATTAGTTCCCTCAAAGCTATATATATACCTTGTTTATGTGTCAAATAATACAAAACCTAATTTCAGGGTTTCCTCCCGAATATTTCTAACGGCTTAAATCGGCAGTATTGATCATTACCTAGCTACATATTGGGATATATTTGCCATCATCACTGAAAGTTATTTTCTTAAAAAAACAAGAGGATAACGAGTAAATACGTATATGCTATTGCAATCGATTCCGAGCTATGTTATTCGATTTATTCAACTGCTGGTTATGATAATCGTGTTGACCCCAACCAAGCAGTTTACACCTACGTACACGGCTCCTTCTATCATTCTCCCTGAAGCACCACAAGAAAACAGCGAAGAGATGCGTATTTCGTCCTAAAAAATACTCTTTTTTATGTTTAAAAGCTAGAAGTTAGTAGCATTTTTTTAGTTTCGGTCAATACGTCATGTGTAGACAATATCTATCACATCAGTCCAAGTTAACCAGCCATGTGCAGCATAGAACCTGACACGTACGATCAGCAATCCAAGTTACCATACCACATTAGAACAGTGAGATAAAGTTGCCAAGACACCAGAGTATTAGAATTAGTAACGTTATCAGTACTATTAGAAAAGATTAGATACAGTAAAAGAGCGAAAGATGTCGTTACTCATTGTAAAGGAAAACAAAGAGTGTATACATCTACAAACGTTCATGAGCCATGTCATACAAAGTTTCTAACTATCGGTTACGATAATCATACAGATCCTAACCGGGTACCGGAACTAAAATCTGTACAGTTATATTTTTCTCTAGGAAAAGAAGCAAAGTACTGAATCTTTATCATTAGTTTTTTCTTTCAATTTTAAATGATTTTACTTTCTAGTTGTTCATAATAACTGTTCCATGAATTGCGTTTTGTTAGAAACTAATGTCGATTATTAATGATTATTCATTGATTTTCAACATTACCTTTACGTTTGTCCAATTAAATCCAATCATTTGCATGAATTTTATAAAAAACTGTGTTTTATTGAGTTTTTTTACTCTTTAGAATATAGTCTATTGCTTTTGTGGAATAAAAGTGTTTTTGTTTTTAAATATAAAAATGATGCTGAATAAACCGGGTAGATTGATAAGAGGATGGAGCCTATTATGTGGGGTAGACTAAGCAGATTGATGAATGTATCCCATTTGGACACATTGGTATAGAATATCGTGAATTAGTTTTCATAATTTCCACTTTTTATAGGCACTGGTTTATTCTCAACACTTTGAGGTAAATTAATGAGGACTAGGTATAAAACTGGAAGGAACTCTTCTATTCTGAACTAGTATTCACTGCCTATCAAATGAGAAAGATTGGTACTGTCTACAGATTTCATGAATCTTTTTACTAATTAAAAAAAATGAGCGTTCGTGACCACACAAGAATATAAGACTCTCCATTCAAGACCCATGTAACAGCCTTGTATCGCCAAGTTATTAAGATCAACTGTTCACTAAAATGACTGATTGAGGATCTTTGGAAAGTATTTTGTTAATTTCTGCTTAGAGTGTATTGTTTTTGTGAGTTAAGTTTTGTATGTTGTTTCTAAAGCTCATGTAATATTTAACGGTCAGTCATTAGACAAAATTAAAAAAATGCTTAACAGCGGAATGTTTTGTTAATTCTGTACACTTTGAAATGCGGCTAGATTGATGCAATATAATATTAACTAATTCTAGTAACTTTTTTTCGTTATCATGCGAGACTATCACAAAATGGGATTAACTAAATCACATGAACACGGTCATTCAAATTCTGATCGTTCAATCAACAACCATATTTCAATGATCATAATAATAGCAATCAATAAAACTCAGTGAACTAGAAATTTTCTGTTTAGCTAAATTAGTTTTATGAGAAATACATTTATTATCTAAGTTAGTGTCGATTCTCGATCAGAACATGTGTTGGGGCTGTTAGATCTCCAGAAGTCACTTAGTAAACGTTTTATTTGTGTAATTTTATTTTTGAAATTTGAATTTCTCATTTTCGCGTTAAAAGCGACCATTTTACCTTCAGTTTGTATTTCTCAATTGAAAGAGCCTTAAATGTCACTAGTTCGTTCCTTTTTTTAATACGCTATTTTTTGAGTTATCCTAATGACATTTTTATACTGCATATATGCATTTAAGCTGTGTGCTTGTTCGTTTGTACTTCTGGCTGCTTGTGGGATATACTTTTCCCTTGGTTGAATCTGGTCCCTCTATAATTTTCTCCAATCCACACTGTCAATTGCTTTCTCATAGTCAAGGAACTGGATGTATAGTGAACAGTTCCATTCAATTGATCATTCAGTGATGATCCACACTGCTGTGATTTGATCTGTGGACGACCGGTCCTTACGGAATTCGGTGTGTTGATCTCGAAGTTGGGCGTCTACTGAGTCTTTCGTCCGGTTCAGCAACACTCTGTTTAAGACGTTCCCTGGTACTGACAGTAGTGTGATGATGCCTCTGTGGTTCTCACATCTGCTCAGATATCCATTCTTTGGAATCTTGATGAGGTGTCCTTCTTCCAGTCCATCGGCATTTGTTCTCCCTCTCAAATCTTCCAGAATAGAACGTGAAGAATGTTTGCAGTTGCTTCTATATCTGACTTCAGTGTTTCAGCCAGTATATTGTCAGGTGCTGCTGCTTTCCCACTCTTGATTTGTCTGATGGCCATTCTGATTTCTTCGATCGTTGGTGGAGTGATATCTATGGGAAGGTTTGTATGTGGTGCTTCGATGTCCGGTGGATTTAGTAGAGCTGGTTTAATCAAGAGTTCCTCAAAATGTCCTCCCCCCTTCCTCCCTCTGCTTTTGAATGCCAATGATTGCCTTGCGTTGTTTGTTCTTGAACAGTCAGGACAGATGTTAAATTGTTGAACTTCTTTATTCTGATTGCACAACTCTCCTTCTTTATCCGGACTTGTGACCGACAGTAACTCTAGGAGAGCTACAGGCGGAATTTCTACTGTGATTAAGAAATTCTAATCAGTAGTTTTTTTGTCTCAGTATTTTTCTCGAAAAGTATCAAAAAAACTTGCAGTTACATCTTATTTTATTTTGGCCTTTTATTACTATTTAGGTTTTGTCAGATTATTTTTCGTTTTGTATTCAGTAATTGAGTTGAATGCTTAGCCGTAATCTGTGAACGCTCGATTCATTATTATTATTGATAACTTTATTGCCAGCCACCACGATATCTATACTTTTTTGTTAGTTGTATAGTGAAAGGTCGTAAACTTTTCGTAAACGCACCTGAATAGGTTATGCGATTATTAGATATAATGATGTGTTAGAACAAATAAAAATAAATAACTTGTTGAAATATCTAGAAGGGGGAGTCAAATATCTCAGATATTCAAACAGGTCAACATTGGAGATCATAGTGTGATAATATCATCTGACTGCAGCACTTAATGAGTGATACAGATTCAAATCCCCTCGGCGATTGTAGATACAGCTTGTTGAAAAATCCTAACTAGCGTGAAACATTAGGTCGATCGTCAGTTGCCTCCAACACATTAGAAATCAAAATGCCTATCCATTAATAAATCAATTGGCTTAGTAACCGGATTACGAAATATATCAATAACTTTCGATCACTGCCATAAACTATACAGGCTCGCTTTAATTGTTACCTAACGGCTAATGAGCATTAGTTTCCTTTAACCTTATCATGGGTTAAATGACCTTTGTTTGTCTATGAATTACTGCATCGACAAAACTATTTTATACTCATATTCTAATTTATTGTTAATCAGTTTCAAGTAGTTTCTTGTAATAAATGATTAATTTATCAATCAATGAACTCATTTACAAGTGTATGAGTCACACTGTCATAAAACTACCTGGTTTTTCAAACCAAAATAGATTGAGCAGAACTCGAACTTCAGATTTAATGTAACTTTAAAAAAAAACTTTTATTTATGTTTACTAGAAAATCCTAGTTCGTTTGAGTTCGGACGAAGATTTAAAATTATCTGATACATTTCGTTACTATGCAATTGATACTGGAGCTGCACGTGACCTACTCTATCGTCGATGTCGTGCATTAGCAGATTATGAAACTGCTAATCGTAATCTTGATAAAGCCCGAGCACGTATGAAAGATGTTCAAACAGCGGAAGATGCACAAACTGCAGCTAATGAACGTTTCAAATCTATTTCAGAATCAGCTAAACTTGGTATGTGTTGTGTAATATGAATATTATCATATGTGTGTATGTTATCACTTGTCCTTATTGATAAAAAAAATTTTCTCTGAGAGTTTAACTGTTATGATTATTGTAAGAATAGTGATGTTTAAATAAACATTGATATAACTTATTTGATTTTATTCTACAATAATATTTTATAAAATAATTTGAAAAGATCATAATTATCCTAATTCTTCCAGTCTTTTAGGAAGCTCATCAGAAATCATACGATTTTATCTGGTATAGTTAGCGTTATTCAGTCAGTCATAAGCAACGTAGGATCTGGCATGTACGTACATCGGTTGAAGTTCCCATATCAAATTAGTACAGTGTGATAAAATTGGCAGGACAAATTCTACAATAACAGTATTAGTGTTAACCGAGGAAATCAGGTATCGAAGACACAATTCTAAAAGAAAATATGAATTAGTGGAATAAAAGTTTTGCACAATAATCTACAAACTTAGGATATAAGGGAAAACAATGAGTAGATGTACCTACGCTATTGTAGACGATTCTGGGTCGTCTCACTAAAAGTTGGACATGTAGATGGAAATTTTGACCAGATGCACAAATGAGTTCTTCCAACAACATACGTAGACTACAATATTTCACCTGTTGTTTGACCTTTATATGGAATATGTGCACAGGCACGTGATGTTTCTGGATCGAATTAGTCTCTTATGATATATATATATATATATATATATATATATATATATATATATATATACATGCCCAAATTCCTAGTACCTAAGTCTTAATTTTATGATTATTGCTTGAGTTGCTTTACAACTAGTTTGTTTTTCGAAATCAATCTCATCTGATTTTGTTTTGGTCTGTCTTATAAATGTGATAATTTGAAGTGTATACATCAAATTTCGGTAAAATATCATTGTATGGATACCATGCAATCAGGATCAAGAACGCAACTAATAGGTCCTTGTGTAAAATTCATATACCACCTATGACAAGCAGTGAAAATATCTTTTAATACTTTTCCAAACGTTAAAAACGATAGTGAAGAATTATTTTTTACAACCATAGTGTTAAAAGTAGCAAATTTTCAGTTCTGTTCTCTGTAATTTATTATAACAGGTAAATCGACATTATCTTCAAATCCTAACCGTAAACACTCAATACTGGGACGAATCGTAACTTTGGGGCACTACATTTTATGTATGACATTGAAATCGTGAACCGACCAATGTTTGACTACCATCGAATCCTGCGTGCGTGATCATAGGTGCGCACTGCTGAGGAGCTCCATACTAGGACGAAATGCTCGTACAGTTCTTCCAGGTTTTAATTGGTGGTCTAACATTGATCAGTTCATGATTTCAATAAAATTCAATAATCTCCGCAATCTAAAATTGAAAATTTTGTGAATGAACTAATCACACAACGCCTCTAGGCATTTTTGTATTCTGTAATGAGGACTCCAACTCAATCCTTTATTCCCTATCACGAATGTCTAATTCTAATCAAGAGCTATGTGAAAACTCGAAAAAAAACCTGATAAGGATAATTTATATCTACAAGGACATGTTTATGTTTTGTTATTTCTTCAATTTACAGACAGAGTAACCTGTAGAAGAGCTTGAGTGATTAATTAAATATGTAAAATTTTGTTTACACTTTGTAATATTATTGTTTTCTTTCCCGAAAACTATCCATTTATAAAGGGGATTTTTTTATTGGCTATGTACTGGGTGAAAATTAGTTACGATTGTTTTAAGCTTGTTCCTAGATTACACTGTTTCATTCATACTTCGAAAATAGCTTCCGTGTTCGTTTTAGTTTTAAAATACTTTATTTCTTTCGTAATCCTATCTGTATTATTCTATTTCCTTTTAACAAATACACTACCTACTCATGATAATTTAATCTTTAATTTTACTTACTTATTTTCTTTACAGAATTAGAAGATTTCAAAGTTCGTCGAATTAAATATTTTCATAAAAATTTAGTTGATCTCGCTGAATTAGAAGTTAAACATGCTAAGGTGAGTAAATGTATGTTGTAACTGGAAAAGTCACTTACAAGTAATGTAGTGTCTGGCTAAAATATATGTTAGCCAAATCTGTCATACTTAGAAAGATTGATTTGTTACAATTTGGGATGATTAACAACTAACCAATAGGCAAAAGAATGATCTATCTTGAAACCTGTCATCAGTTACTTATTAGCTATGTAGAAAGAACTTTGAACATGCACACACACATCATTTGACATTTAAACTACAAAGTTAATTCAGTTATAGTATACTAATTAGTGACTTGTGAACGAGACTATAATCATCTTCAAGGTCCATTTCTAGATCTTAACTAAATATATTACTAATTTAAGATCGTTGCATTTCTAAACAGATAAAAAAATTAAGAAGTTTACTCATGAATAGAATGATAAAGTCTAAATAAATAAACATAACCGATTATAGGTATCAATGCGAAGCTTGGATTCGATAGTTTCAAATAGATTGAGCATTGGGTAGAAAGTTAATAATAAATATATTTTTGTTATATCCTAATGAGTAGAAAAATTGTATTAGTGACGTTTCGTGACTCAGTGTAAACCACTTCTTCAGAGTTAACAAATAACCAAATTAAATTAAACCAAGTTTAAATAGTACAAAGGGAACACTACAGAATATTTTTGGTACAATCAATATCATAATAAGTCTGAATATGTCAATGTCAGGTTATTCTTGATCAAGGTGAATTTCTATATCGTGACGAGAAAATAATAAGGACTCTCAATAAGAATTGACTTATTTTGTTTACGATATGATCACTGTCAACTAAGTGTGCCAAGAATGGAGCTATGTATTGTTTTCTAAACTGGTCTGAGAAATGTTCACTTATCTGTTGGTTAATTTGCCCATTATGTTGTAGATAAACATTAAACTGACGAACTCAAATAATTTATCTTTTGTTTGAGTAGCCATCACTAATCGATCAGAAAAGATTAGCTACCTTCAATGTCATTTTAACTCCCCTATCTAATCTATTCTGTCTTACTAACAGAGCACTAAAAATCTACTCAGATGATGCCATAAAAAAAGAGTTAGATTTTATTAGTTAATAACATGTTGATGGATTTTACCTACCTTTAATGAACTACATGTATACATGGGAAAAAATATTGGAGATATTTCTTAAAATTGCAATTCAACAGTGATGTAGCTAGTGTTGTCGTTTATGGTAGATTTACGAGGGCAAATAAAAATATCATTTTTTCGTAGCTATTCTTACATCTGAATTTTCTAATCGACTTGTTATATGTACTCAAACAAGGGATAAATTACGAGTTTATCTCCGATGTTTATCTACAAATTCAGTTGCTTCTGTAGAGATAACTTTATGTTGGATTTACTACCAGAAAGTTTAACCAATAAATGAATGAAAATCTCCCAGTTTAAATTCAGTTCAAAATGACATGGATTATCCCGTTAATATTTCGACCAAAATTTGATCAGCTTTGGTTAGCATATGAGCTTCCTGTGCAGATTATCTCGATATATAGCCATTATGACACAAGTTAACATATATAACATATATAACACATATATCCAGCTGACGAGTTCGAAACAGGAAAAAATGCGCGTCCTGGATTTCATTGCTAGCCACTATATCTTCCAGTTCGGTCTTCATGTTTTCATCAATTCAAAATTCACTTGTATGACTGATCCAGTACAATTTTGATTTCCTTCGTGGTTCAGTTAAGTAGTTCCCGATCTTCCTGTCTTACCTCTTCAATGCTTTCTTCACTAGTAAATGCCAACATATTAGACATAACCTATGCAACAGTTTAATGTTACTTCTGTTTAAGTAATACTGGTTTTTTGTACCAAAATGTTGTATTGACAGTAGTTGTGATATTTCGCAATTACATGACCTAGAATTAGTCAATACAGCTCAGCTATATTTATTCTTTGTTTTTCTCTAAGTCTTAAGCTTTAATATTTATCGCACACTATATTTTCCACAAATTCATTTCTTAATTTTTTGGATCATATTCTTTCTCAGTATCGTTTTTGATATAATGGATGAATTAAAATATTTTCTCTCTCTACGGTACAACTACGCTATTACAATAATTTATTTTATTTATTTAAATACACAAAGATTGGTACAAGGAGCCACCAAATATATATGTGCCGCACTTCGTCATTGGATTTATATGAGGTTTATAGTACTACTCAGACGCCCAAATTGAAGCAGGTGGTTTTCTCAGGTGACCACACCCCTATCCTTTTACCTAGAGGTCTAATCTACAAGACAATGGAGCAACGTTAGGAGATGCAGTCCTATGGCAGCCAGTGCCTGGTGATCAGACTAGTCTAGGTGATCGAGTTTATAATACCTCTAGATTGGATACTCAAACGATACACAAAGAGACTAGATCACGTTAGATCAGATATACGATTCACAACCGAACATAGAGAACCAGAATAACAGTAGACAATACTTTATTCCATACAAATACAAGCAGCCATTCTTAGTGAGTCCGAAATAGAAATCAATAAAAAGATAGCAAATCACATAGTTAATAGTCAGTAAGTTGAGTGCGCCTATTTGTTTAGATTCAGCGACCAATTGCACTTATTTTCAATACCATACATTAAATTTTTTTAGGTAATTTCATTTCACTGTTTTAGTGTGATATAACAAACACATGAATTGATACAGATTTATGCCCGACTATGAGGCTTAAATTTAGCAGTCAACAGCTATTTCAAGCTCTCCGATTGTCATTGATTCCTTCAGTAAATGATGAGAATTAACTTGAAATTTCACTATCGTCATATTAGTAATTTGTATCAAGTGGTGACTCAATGGTTAAGTCATTTAAATTTGAGCCTACTAACTATAAAGCTTCAAACTTTGGTTCACTTACCCTACGGTTTGGACAGTTACAGGTAATTATTACTAGTCTTTGTACCAAAAATTTAGTATGGATTAAAACCAAGTACATAAACTTGTATCTGACAAATAAGTTAGTAAATACAAGAAGAGTAAATTTTATTTAGAAATTCATGTTTTTTTCCAAAAAATGGTTATATATACGGCATTGTTCTATTGTTTACTTTTCAGTCTCAGATAGAATTAATAAAATCTTCATTAATGCGATTAAAACTAATCAGTATACCTGTATAAAATCACCTACAATTACCATGGAATCCACGATTTGTACCAACAACAACACCTCAATCACCACTACTACTACTAGTAATAGTGTCCATTCCAATTCACCGACAAATAACAACATTACCACATTTAACTCGTCAAAATAATCACATGTGTTTTTGATTTGAAATGTATGGGGATAAAAGACATTTCTCTCTTTTTTTTGCCCTAAATATTCTACGCCTTCAACACAGCCTTATCCCACTGATGACAATGATGATAGTCAATTAAATGTTATATGTTTTTCTGTGTGTAAATTATTATAGACTTCATTGATTTTTATTTTCCTACTATATTATTATTATTTCTCTAAATCCATGTTTTCAAGAGTGCGTTTAGTTTGTACTTTTCCACTACTATTTCCGTCAAATTCTCCTATACCTCCATCCACCCACTGTACTACTACTTGCTGTGAAAGAAATTATCAAATATGATTCTTATTTTCTGATCTTAACATCCAATCCTATAATGTAAGAATGCCAAAATTAATTAAATTCACTGTTAACAAGTTTTTTTTAAAATTCAAATGGAAGCTTTGAAGACGACAACTCTTCCAAACGTCTCCTATGTTACTTCATCATCGTAGGTTTGTGTGTGTATGTGCTATTGGCTTTCTTGTTTGATTAATATCCAATTCATATTGTGATTAAATTTACCAATCATGCGAATTTCTTCCTCCTTCATATTACTACATTCTGTGATCAAAATGAAAAACTCTAAATGATCATCTTAACTCGTTTAATATATGAAGTGAAAACAAGACCGACATATTATCTCCATTATTAGTGGGAGTAAATTGAACCCCAACCTCACTTTACTCACACTCACTTTTATTTCCTAGGTGCAAAATTATCATTCACTATTATCTTATTCTTTAATTCACCTATATATATATATACTTGGTTTATTTGGTTTTCACTTTATAATCATATTTTTTACTTTTGTTTGTGTTATTTTCTTTGACCATTCGTGTATTGTGTATTTTGTATAATTCCAATAAATTTCTATTTATATATTTATTTAAATACATAAACATTAATCCAAGAAGGTACAAAATATATATGCGCTGCACTTTGTCATTGGATTTGTGTGAGGTCTGAAGTATATATATATGATAATGATTTAGTCATGAGTTGACATTAATTGAAGTACACTTAATTAGAAAGAATCAAACAAAAATGTTTCTTTTTACATAAAACTCTTTGGGAGTATACATTCACTGTTCTGTCTGGAATCAAACTCAGAACCCATGGGTCTTTCAGTCTTCTCACTCTTACCTACCGTGAATTGGAATTCAATAGTCCGTTGCTTTTAATTTCAATCAATCCGTGCGTATTTTGCTACTACCTGTTAAATTCTCCCTAACATAAGAGAGAGGATTAAATGAATATTTAAGATGAGACAAACTAATAATCATTTCGGAATGATAACTGTTTTTTATCTTGAAGTAGCTTAATATTGTGTTCACTTTATCACAGAAGGAAGCAATAAAAATGGTTTCAAAGTCGGCAGTCGATGTCGTAACAGAACCGGTGAATATTGCAGCCTTTTTAAAACTACTCGATGTATGATGATCTATTAACTATGGTTGTAAGTACGATAAGAAACAAGATCAGCTTGAGGACAAACTTTACACATTAACGATACTATGTCGTGTGAAAGAAGTCGTTACCAGAGAATAAATCGCTACTTTGATTTATTACGGAAACTGAACTAGAGCAAACGATAATTTTTAATTTACTTCTGGAGCTATATCAGTCACTGATGAACTGTCAAAATGATCGAGAGAGATGGACGAGATTCGGATAGTTTTTAACTATTCATTTGTTCAACTAGGTAAAACACTAATGAAATGCTAACACCAGTGTTTCTACTACGCTCGTGCAAAACACGTACTTCAGCATGCTTCACTGCTTAAGAAGTGAACAGAGTTCAATAGTTATTGGTTGGCTTACTAACATATGGGTACACTAATTTGGCTAAATATTTTGCTTATATATATGGCTAGTAGTTCAGTTCTCCAAAATCATTTTGGGTCGGAATTCATTATTTCGAATTTCCGAGCGTCAATTACTGTATTACTATTGATAAGAGATTTTAAAAATATTCAGTAATTGAGAAAAATAAATTAGTGTAGAATGGCATATTCCTAGACCAACTGATATCAATTGAATAAAAGATCGTTTTCGTTACAAACTTGAGTTGTCACTGCAAAGTTCAGTAGATATTATGTTCCGAAACATGACAAAGAACGAATATTTAACCAGTACATCTAAGTCTATATTTGAAACAAAACTAGTTCAGAGTTGGATCCTAAGTTTTTAGATTCCTTTTATTCTTTATATTCGACTTATTTCTATTTTATTGAAACGCATATTTGATGGCTAGACTTTTCTATAAGCACTAATACTGTTACTATCTCTTCTACGGCGGCATTTGCCCTAATAATTTCGTCTCTACGCTAAAGAGGTTTGTACACATGTCCTACTTTTCGTTTGACTATTGGATGATCATTGTAGCATGCATATATATTGACACCTGTGTTAATAACATAGTGATCAGAATTGAAACAATGCTTCGCAGATGACCTGGTCCTTCTATTTTTTACGCATAAACAAATGCAGATGAAGACAACCAGTGTAGCAGCAACCTTCTCAGCAGTAGGCCTCAACATACACAAGGGAAAACCAAGATCCTCAACTACAACACGGAGAGCACACCAGCCCGATAACACTTGATGGAGAAACTCTGGAAGAGGTAGAAACTTCCACGTACCTAGGCAGTATTATCGATGAACAAGGAGTATCTGATGCAGATGGAAAGGCAAGGACCGCGTTCCTGCAGTTGAAGAACATCTTGACCTTAAAACTACTGTCAGTCAACATCAAAGTCTGAATCTTTAATACGAACGTCAACACAGTCTTACTGTATGAAGCTGAAACGTGGAGAACTACTACAATCATCATCAAAAAGGTAAAAGTATTTATAAACAATTGCTCGTCGACCGGATACCATCAGAAACAGGCTACTGTGGAAGAGAACAAACCAGATCCCAACTGAAGAGGAAATTAGGAACAGACGATGGAAGTGGATAGAAGATATATTAAGGAAAACAATAAACTTCATCACGAAGCAAGCTCTAACTTGGAATCGTGAAAGGAAACGATGAAGAGGAAGGCGAAAGAAGACATTGCGTTAGGACTTCGTAGAAAACAATGAATTGCAACTGGAAAAGATTGTCCAGGACAGAGTCGAATGGTGAATACTGGTGGGCGGCTTATGGTCCTCCACGAGGAGTTACATGCGTAAGTATTCCAAATTCTCAATGGTACTTCAGGATTCCAAGTTGATAAATCTAAGAAAAATAGCAATCGGAAGCAGTGTTCATAGAAATCTTAAAGAGAAATCTGTCTAAGATGAACTCATCATAAGTTGGTTTGGTGGTTAGTTAAATTATTAAAACCAGTTCATAGAAAAATTGCCTCACAGTTTAAAAGACATTTTAGTTTTCTAAAGAAATGGATCATTTGAGTACATATTAGGTAAATTCTTTTAATTGAAATTATGAATCGATTAATGTTGGACCATTACTGAAAATCTGGAAGAACTGAATGGCTGTTTCGTCCGATCATGTGACTCCTCAGCAGTGCGTATCCACGACCCTGTACGCGTGACTCAAAACCACGACCTTCAGTCTCACTTGAACTCTTAATCTCTACTAGACAACTGAGCTGGGATCCAACGGTATTGATGTCTAACTTCAACCAGTTTACGATATTGAGCGACCACCTTCCGTTGTCTTCGCTAGGAAACTGCTTCACACCTGACAGAGATTAGCTCCACTGGTCACGGCTTCTCACTAGAACTCCGGTCATTTCCCCTCAAATCTAGTCACTAGTTAACACATAATAATAACAATCCTAACAACCCTATACTGTTAATTTCTCTTAATTTTTGCTAAATATTTGTGACCGTAACTTTTGAGGAAACTATTGATATAATTTTAAAACAATTTGAACTATTTCCTTTGCTTTAAAATAGGTCAGCAAAACTAATATTACTTTGCACGAAAAAGGTTCACTACTGATGCAACAATGAGCTATACAAACAAACTGATGGAGTGGTCATGGGTTCACCACTAATACCAATCGTTGCTATAAAACATAACAAACTAAACCATGAAATCCGGAACGCAACATACCATTCCAGATTTGTTGATGATACATTCATTATCTGTGACGATACGGATCGCGCTTCTTGGTTGCTTAGTCACCTACAATTTTTATTTAAACATAATATTTACGATGAGATATAAAAGTGATAATCAACTAAATTTTTTTGATCATAATAGAATAGAACTATCGATTAGAGTATATAGGGATGAAATGTGAACGGGACAGTATTTCAACCATGACAACTTTTAGCCTACCAGTTACAAAAAATATCTAATCAAAAAACTATTTAATAAAGCTAAAATGTTATACTATGTTATTTCAAATAATCAACTATTTGCAAAATGCCTATTCTCATTCGTCTTCTGTCCAAAGAAGTTGAGATTTCTGAAAGAATCGATAGAAGAATCAAGATGTCACTGAAAAGAAGCTTCCTTTCTGCTTATCTGATTTCATAATACAATACCAGTTGTCCGTTATTCCATCCAAAGGTAGACCAACATTCTTTCAATACCACCTCTAAACAACCTGTTTTATTCTGATTATGATAACTATTACCTACAATATTGCCTATTTTGCTCTGAGTTACTGTTTTCTAACATATATATATATATATATATACATCGATCTTGACTATATTTATTCATACACTATGTGTTCTATTTCTCTAATAACTATAATTCTTTTGGTTACATTTCAAACACTTATCTAAACTTCACTGACTAACTTATGTTAAACAATTTGTTTCTAATTTTAGGTTATATACATACTTGATAAGATGCTATAAAATAAAATAATGAATTCATTTTATTCTACACAAATCTTGTTGTTATCGAACTGTTTAATACTAATGTAAATGAACACTCATCAGTCTAATTGATGCAAATCATTAAAAACAAAATATTAGTAAACAGGATCAAATATCTTGCCAATTGTTTACAATTTACACCCGATTATGGATTTTTTTTCATGAAAAAATCAATTAATCAATAAATAATATATAAACAGTTAGTTATCATTATCTACATGATTAACTATCATGATTATTCTATTACATACATAGACAAGATCTTCTATCAGTATATTAATCGTAATTTGTGTAATTCAATTATAAAATGAAATAGTTAAACTTATAATTAAATATCATTAATCTAGGGTTTTAATGTTTATTCACTATATCATATACCAGTTTATATTTATTGATTGATAATTGTTGATAATAATTAAATCAATAAAATTCATTATTGTTTTCACACTGTTTAAGTGAAATAAGGGCGAGACTATAATTTATAGAAGAACCAATCAGGCATAAGATAATAGGTGTCGGATTTTGGCGCAAAACTCCTTCATACATTTGGTTACATAGAGTTTGGGCATTATAACTGATATCAATTCGTGAGGAAAACTCTAAATCTAATTCTTAACGTTAACCGTCGACTTTAAATCATAATTTTAATTTCTCGCACAGATTCATAACCCCCATTTGATCCTAGTTATTAGGTGAACACTTTCAAGGTCACTCAAGTGTCGTTCAAAGGTCATTCATAAATGATAGTCTCATCAAAATAGGTTATGTATAAACAGTATTGTGTTTCAACGGTTGATATGTAAATAAAATAATCAAATCTTTGTTTTCTCTCACATCTTTCGCCTAACTATTTCTATTGGTTTATATAACAGTATCTTTAAGTAATATTCCATCCTATCATTGAAGTTTACATTTTATTCGTTACTTTGCATCCTAATGCATGTAGTTATGTACCTATATCTAAATATTTGAATGAGATGTGAAGGTGTAAACTGGTAAAACAAGTGCAACATTCGAGCAATTGAGGAATATCTGGAACTCAAAGCAATTGTTACATAAGATCAAAGTCAAAATTTTCACAACTAACATTAAAACAGTTATTTTGTAGGAAGCTAACACTTGGAGAACTACCAGAACCATCACCAAAAATATACAAATATTTATAAAAGGTTATCTACACAAGATATTCTAGATGCATCAGCCAAAGACCATTAACAA